TAAATATCTTTGGAAGCCACCTTGGGTCCAACAATTTTTTTGTGTACAGGCACTTCCCGACTTACAAACATCTTGACTGTGAGAGCCGTTCAGCAGTGGAACTCTCTGCCCCGGAGTGTGGTGGAGGTTCCTTCTTTGGAAGCTTTTAAACAGAGGCTGGATGGCCATTTGTCAGGGGTGATTTGAATGCAATATTCCTGCTTCTTGGCAGGGGGTTGGACTGGATGGCCCATGAGGTCTCTTCCAACTCTTTGATTCTATGATTCTATGATCCGACTTACAAACGACTCATAGTCAAGAACTTGTCTGGGACAACAGGACGTGAGAGAAATCTACCCCTCAGAAGGGGAATTCATTCCTGAAAGAGTGATCATGGGGAAAAGGCATCTTCATTGAAGCTTTCTCACCCATCGTTGTTTCCACAACAAGCCAAATTTTTCAAAATCCAATTATCACAGTGACAGAAAGTGAGATGAAATCTTCTGAACCAAGGGCAGAGATAGCAAAACAAACACTATAGCCTCAAACTATGGTAGGGGGCCGGATGCGGCCCTCCAAGGTCATTTACCCTGCCCTCGCTCAGGGTCAACCTAAGTCTGAAATGACTTGAAAGCACACAACAACAATCCTATCTCATCAGCCAAAAGTAGGCCCACACTTCCCATTGAAATACTAATAATTTTATATTTGGTGAAAATGTTCTTCATTTTAATTACTGTATTGCATTTAAGTGTTTTTTGCACTACAAATAAGATATGTGCAGTGTGCATAGGAATTCATTCATGTTTTTTTCAAATTATAATCCGGCCCTCCAACAATTTGAGGGACTGTGACCTGACCCTCTGTTTAAAAAGTTTGAGGACCCCTGCACTACAGGGATGTTAACCCTTCCCTATGCTATCCAAAGCCTATCTATCTATCTATCTATCTATCTAGAATTAAACTCTAAAAATGTATCTATTCTGACTTACAAACAATTCCAACTTAAGAACAAACTTACAGAACCTTGTTCATAACTTGGGGACTGCCTCCATATCGAAAATGTAATAAATATATGAAGTGATCTTAGGCATGTTGATAGAGGAAAAACAAGTGTGTGTTGCTGTGAGTTTTCCAGGCTGTATGGCCATGTTCCAGAAGCATTCTCTCCTGACGTTTCACCCACATCTATGTCTGACATCCTCAGATATTATGAGATCTGTTGGAAACTAGGCAAGTGAGGTTTATATATCTGTAGAATGTCCAGAGTGGGAAAAATAACTATCTGTTTGTGGCAAGTGTGAATGATGCAGTTGATAAGCTTGATTAGCATTAAAGAGCCTTGCAGCTTCAAAGCTGGGTGAATCCTTTGTTGGGAGGTGATTAGCTGGCCCTGATTGTTTCCTGTGTTCTTACAAGCCTTCTAACTACTCTGTGCCTTACATAGATTTAGTGATAGATATCCAGATGGAAGCAGAGATGAAATTATGCCTAATGTGAATATTCAGTGAATTTCTTTCAGCTTTGTTCTTGAATGGCATACTCACATATATTCCCCCCCCCCCCATATATTTGTAGGGGCAACATGAGAGGAATGCTGTGATATAATTCCACGGTAATTTAAATAGTCTTGAATGAGCCTAAAACTACAAATTCTCAAAGATATGTTACATTTTGGACTGGCCAGGGATTCTAAGAGTTGTCCAAAAATTATTTCTACAAGTTCTGATTTTATATAGTAAATATTGTTGCCTGGTTGGAAAAATACATTCCAAAGGTTGTCTTTAGAGCTTCAGAGCAAATAGAAACACACCATGAACAAGCATTTTGAGGAACTGGCTGAAGATTTCTTTTAAACTAGTATAATCTGGGCACACTTTGTGACTTGTCAAAATGCATTTCACTTAATATACTCTCTTTATTGACTTCCTTTTCTCCTTATCAGATGTCATGGGTGGGAACTGCTTTATAAGGGAAAAAGAATAAAAGTCTGTGAATCTTATTTATCTCTGGATTCCTGATATGATCTTGGCTAGTGCTTGTACAGAATTTTATAGCAGGAAAACAGGGAAGTATTACCGTATATACTCAAGTATAAGCCGACCTGAATATAAGCTGAGACACCTGATTTTACCACAAAAAACTGAGAAAACAAATTGACTTGCGTATAAGCCGAGGGTGGAAAATGCAGCAGCTACTGGTAAATTTCAAAATAAAAATAGATACCAATAAAATTACATTAATGGAGGCATCAGTGGGTTAAATATTTTTGAATATTTACATAAAACTGTAATTTAAGATAAGACTGCCCAACTCTGATTAAACCATTATTCTTCAATGTAAATGTGCTTACGTAGCTTTCCAATAATGATAGAGTAAAATAATAAATATAATAATAGTAGTGTAAATAATGGAAATGTAATAACAAAAATAGAGTAAAATAATAAATGTAATAATAACAACAATAATAGAGTAAAATAATAAATGTAATAATAATAGAGTAGAATGATAAATGTAATAATAATAATAATAATAATAGAGTAAAATAATAAATAATGTCTTGAGTATAAGCCGAGGGAGACTTTTTCAGCCTAATAAAAAGGCTGAAAAACTAGGCTTATTCTTGAGTATATACAATATATTAGTCTTTAAGTCAAAAGCCTTAATGTTATTGATTAGGATAGGAAAAACAATTGAGAGCAACTTATATTATTTTTTATGTTCTCAATGAATTGTCACATGGAGGCACATTGGGCAAAGTTAATTAAACAAGCATAAAACTCAGTGCCAAATATCTGCTGCTTGATGATCTACTTTAATTACCTCTCTAATCTCTAACTCTGAAAGCCTAGAAATGGACTTGTATTGACAAATCTCTGCCTTAAATAAACTCTGTTGAAAGTCTTCCTCCTCATTATTTTTCCTCTTTTTTTTGTTCTCCTATTTATTCAGTCTGGGTGAAATCGGGCATGAATTACAGTTATGCAAGTATGAATCAACAGTTTGGCTCTGGGAGTTGCTTCTGAGTTTATGGTGACATCCAAAACATACTGGTGTTATACAATACTTAATATGCCCAGGAATATGTTACTAAATGAAATTTTAAGCAGCACATGGATCCTAAACCTTCTGCCTTTAAAAAAATAGACAGTGATGATGGACCTCTTTCAGCCCAAGGGACAAATTCCATTTGAGTTATCCGAGACTGCATTCCAGAGGTGGACAGAGCCAGTGGCAAAAAGGTGGACCAAAATACCATCATATTATAGTTTAAAGGTCTTAGTGCCAGAAGCTACAGTCCCGGATCTGCAAGACCAGACCAGGGTGATTGATGATAAAATGTCTTGGATATCTTATTTATGGGGTCACCATAAGTTGAAGTCATCTTGATAGCAGTTAACAACAACAGGCTAAACCTTAGGAGAGACATTTCAGCTTTTTAGAATAGGTTCAAATCCTTACAAACACTTGGAAGCCTCCGAACAATATTATCATTGGGAAGGGAGAACAACCCGGAGGTCAGAATTTGTAACCAGGAAAGCATGATTGAGCCCAAGGTTGGAGTTTTCCATCCTTGGTTTTTCATTATTTTGCATTCTGCACTCAAATTGCCTGGGAGGATTTCCTGTAGATGTTTGTGGAATATGTTTGTGGAATATGTTTGTGGAATATGTTTGTGGAAAAAAATGTTTGTATTGGTTTGAGCCTAGTCAGTATATTTTCAAGCTCCCCACCCCAAAAGCAATTTGATATGATCAAAAAGATGAAATTAGGATCATAGCGCTTTGGGTTACTTTACTAGACCGTTACCTGTATCTTTCCTGGAATTTGGACAGGAAATCTGTTTTTGTTTACTAGCCAGTCCAAATTCCAGACTTCCATAACTAAGAAAACCCAGTACTCATGGAAGCTTCGGTAGAAGACAATAAGTATAATGCAGGAAGAAACAAACTTGCTTTTGATTTTAAGAACCTTGTCACACTATATTGTTATAGTGCTATATTTTCACCAGCTGCTATAGAAACATCCTAAGGGATCCTGGGATTTGCCATGTAGGGAGGAACAAATTCTGAGCCAGAAAAAAAATATCTTGGGCCTCAAGGAACTAGAAAGCCAATAATGCCACCAGATGTTGGCATGGCAATTAAATGGAATATAATGTGGTATATTGGTTTGGACATTGAACTACAACTCACAGAGTATAATCAGTGTTGGAATCCCTGCCATAGGAAATGCACTGGGTGACCTTGGGCAAGTCACACACTCTCAGCCTCAGAAAAAGACAAAGGCAAACCCAAACCTTGTGGTAGAGTCACCTGGGGTTTCCATATGGGAACAGTAGAAGTTTTAGAATTGACAAAACTGTATCTTTATAATGCTACATGAATTATGTGAGGGGCATATAGACCCGGAAATAGTTGGTGTAACAAGGCAATTGTAGTATGTCAAATGTTTTGAAAATAAAAAGTAAAAAATAATATATATATATAGATAGATAGAGATAGATAGATCGTTATGAAATAGTGGATTGGTACACGAATAATCTAGTTGATACATTTGTTTTGCTGAGCAATAAATAGGACAAGGAAAGTTAAAGTAGAATATTTTCTAGTTTAATATTTAATATTTATTTGGGTTGGAAATCATATATTGTCCAACCCCCCACCTCCTGTGACTTCTACTATTTGTCTTCAGTTTACTCTGCATTCTTCTCAGTAATTCAGAAGATACGTTCTCACATGTGGGACTTCCTACATGTTTGCGTAGATAGGTACAAAGAAGCCTCGCAGCAAAAGATAAAATGATCCCACCAGAAACTTCTGTGCATTACAACAATTTAATCAGACATTTTAATCATTGGTGTCATTGTCAGCATGATCAGGTGTACTGCAGTGTACTTGCATGACCTGCATTCTATCAATTCAAGATTTGTTTAGGGAAATCTTTAATGAATAAACCTTCATCACTGCAGCCACCCAAATGAAGTATTTTTTTTTACATTTCTTCCTTTTCTTAATTAGTTGCTGAGCTTGGTGCTGTCAACATACGTGGTGAACAATACTCACCGCAGTGTTCAAAGCAAGCAAGGATTGCCTGTAATCAATCAGATTATTAGCTGGACAATATTAGGTAAGTCTCATCTATCTCATCTGAGATGATCTAAAATATAGATCTAACAGGTAAGGAGGGTGAAACTTGGCTTGCTGGTCTTTCTGCCAGCTGTACACGTGTCCTATTGTTAGGAATCTAGCCTTGACTCGCAGCAGCCAGCCCTAAGAAAGATTATACGCTGTGATTATATATAAAAATAAATATCTGCCAGTATCATCTGGAAAAGAAGAGGCAGAGCCAACACATGTCTATATAAGCACTATTGATATACAAGCAGTCTGGTGTTTCAAGGATAATAATGCAGAGTAGTGTTAATGAAATGCTTCACTAACACTTGTAGACTTCAGATTAGAGACTGAATACCTTTTGGATATTTCCCAAAATTTCCTATCCAGGATAAACTTTTTGTTTTGGAGGTTCTGGAAGTTGAGGTACCCAAAAGTATTTTTCCTAACTCAAGTTCACATATGTAATGTAGTTGCTGGTAGACTGAGGCATGCAACAGGACCTGGAGGTAGAGCTTCATCCTGTGTAAGCACTTCTGGGTTCAGTTCTTTGCACCTGCAGTTCAAAGGGAAGGAACAGGTCTGAGACCTGAAAAAGTTGTTACTGGTGTAAGCCAATGACAGTTGATTGCTATATGTGTGATATAGTGGTTAATAACTCTTAAATATAGAGCAAGGAGAACCAGGTGTACCAGGGAGTGAGATGGAATTGGAAGGCACTCTAATAGATCAGAGCTTTATGGCTGATGCATTAAATCCAGACATTCCAGCCAATCAATTTAACAATGCAACAAAAACTGCTCTGGAAGTTGTGGCACCATCAAGATCTTACTTAGGCCCCTTCTACACTGCCATATAAAATCCAGATCATCTTCTTTGAACTGGGTTATATGGCAGTGTAGACTTGTATAATTATTTTCAAAGCAGATAATGTGGATGATCTGTTTTGATAATCTAGATCAGAGATCCTCAAACTAAGGCCCAAGGGCCGAATACAGTCCTCCAAGGTCATTTATCTGGCCCTCGCTCAAGGTCAACCCAAATCTGAAATGAGTTGAAAGCACACAACAACAACATCAATCCCATCTCATCACAAGCAGTCCCGTCTCATCAAAAGCAGGCCCACACTTCCCATTGAAATACTAATAAGTTTATATTTGTTAAACATTTTCTGCATTTTAATTATTGTATTGTTTTAAAGGTTTTTTTCTGCACTACAAATAAGATATGTGCAGTGTGCATAGGAATTCATTCATGTTTTTTTCAAATTATAATCAGGCCCTCCAACAGTTTGAGGAACTGTGACCTGGCCCTCTGTTTAAAAAGTTTGAAGGCCCCTGATCTAGATCATATCGCAGTGTGGGAGGGGCCACAGTGTGACCAAAGCCAGAGCTTCATACAAGCAGCCCCGAGGTACAAATATACGACTTACATATGACTCATAATTAAGAACAGGGGTGAAATAACAAGAAGTGCAAAGAAATCTAGCCTTAGGAAGGGAAATTTGTTGGGCAAGTGGGCTTATTTATGAAAGACCCTCCTCATAAATATACAGCAGAGTCACTTAGCAGCAGCAACATGACCCAGCACCAGTAGCGCAAAGTGATATAAAGAACAAAAACACACCGACCAATATTATCTCTTCCATATGAGGCTTTTCTTTGTGGTAAAATAATATGGTTACACTATTTACAAGAGCAAGGTTTCTATAACACAAATAAAGTTCTTTATACTTCCTTCGTTTCTTCCATAATGGGCTTCTTTCTTATGCTGATAAACAGCTTTGCTCTCAGAGCCTTCTCTCACACCAAATAAATAAATCTCTCAGAAAGTCAACTGACCTCCTTTGATCAGAATGTGATCTCAATTGTTAAAGCATTCCCATTTTTGGAAGTTGAGTATGATGTGGACAGTCATGACTCATCCCCCTCCTGCCCTCCTCCTGAAGATAGGGCTTCCATATTAATGTTCATAGGGCCACCCCATCTTCAGGAACTAGATACAGCCCCAGTGATAATCCCTTGTCTCTCACCAACTACTGGGGACCTCGGTCCCCATCTTCAGGAGCCAGGAGTGGTGTGGATGGTGATCTCTCACCTCCCCGCAAAGATTACTGGTTGCCCCAACTTTGGGATTCTGATGTGGAAGAATAAGCTTAGGAATAATTAAATCCATAAGTGTAAAACCTGTGAATGTGGAGGGCAGGCTGGAGTGTTATATTTTATTACCTTGTCCTTGATTTTATATGATGATCCGTCTATTATTGTTATAGTTATCGCTGTCATCTTTAGCATATTCTCACTCAGACATGACACTCACAGGGATTGTTGCACCAATTGCAATCTCTCACTGTCCTTCACTTTTCAGTGTTAAGGGGTGAGTAATGGTAGACGGAAGAACCACACATGCCATCCTGAAATCCATGGAGGAGAGTTAGAATATTATATTTTATTTAAAAATAAAGATATGTTGAGATATCTCGAGTTCCAGTTTTGGGAAGAAGGCCCAGGAGATGGATGAATGGATAGATGGATGAATGAATGGAAAAACAGAGTTTGATTTGGGTTGCTGTGAGTTTTCTGTGCTGTATGGCTATGTTCTAGAAGCATTCTCTCCTGATGTTTCACCCACATCTATGACAGGCATCCTCAAAGTTTGGGATGTTTATTGGAAACTAGGCAAGTGAGGTTTATATATCTGTGGAATGTCCAGCGTGGGAGAAATAACTCTTGTCTGCTTGAAACAAGTGTGAATATTGCAATTGGCCACCTTGATTAGCATTTAATGGCCTTATAGCTTCAAACCCTGCCTGATTGCTTCCTGGGAATCCTTTGTTGGGAAGTGTTAGCTGGCCCCGATTGTTTCTTGTCTGGAATTCCCCTGTTTTTTGAGTGTTGCTCTTTATTTACTGTCCTGATTTTAGTTTTTTAAAATACTGGTAGCCAGATTTTACCTCTAGCAGACAAGAGTTCTTTCTCTCACCTTGGACATTCCACAGATATATAAACCACACTTGCCTAGTTTCCAACAAGCCTCACAACCTCTGAGGATGCCTGCTTCTGGAACATGGCCATACAGCCCAGAAAACTCACAGCAACCCAGTGATTCTGGCCATGACAGCCTTTGACAATACAGAGGTTGATCTCATACCAGGCGGCTTTATGTGTTCTCCTTGCCAAAAAGCCTAGACAGGTTTGATGAATTAGAGAAACATTGAACATTTGTCCCCAAATACTACACTGTTTCTGTCAACATTTTTGTTCTTTGTATATGAAACCAAAACAGGATCCTTCTCAAGTATGGAATTTTCCTTTTTTGGATGACAATTCTAAGTGATACTTGTGCGTTTATATGTAAGCACAGAGCACAGCGATTCCGCTTTTGCCAGCTGCTGCCGGTTAAGGACGTGTTCACTGACCCCTGTAAAAGCTTTTGCAGGAGGTGGAAGGGGTGGGGTAGTCAGCTTGCTTGTTTTGACTGAGCATCTAGGAAACTCACTGCCCTAGGCTGGCTACTGACCACCTTTGTTTTTGTCCTCCCGCTCCAGTCCATCATCAGTGCCATGGGAGTTAGATCTGACATTGCCACAAGATCAAAGATAGAAATATCGCACGTTCCGCTGTAGAACTTTGTCAGAAGAGCCAGACTGGGTCTTATGATTTCCCTCTGACATCCATAAAATCTTGATTAGGCTTTCCGATGTGAAAAAATAGGACTTTCATTGTCCTTCGTGCTCAAGGTGGATACAGCTTGCTCTGACATTACCTTTGCTTTTCTTCTTCCTCCATCTCATATTATACTTGGCAATAGCTAAGTGTGATAACTCTGCTTCTGAGGCTCCTTCTACACTGCCATATAATCCAGATGATCAAGTAGATAATCCACATTATCTGCTTTGAACTGGATTATATGAGACACCTTCTACACTGCAATATAAAATCCAGATTGTCTGCTTTGAACAGGACTATATGGCAGTCTAGACTCATATAATCCAGTTCAAATCAGACAGTGTGGATTATCTGATTTGATAATCTGGATTATATAGCAGTGTAGAAGGGGCCTGAGTCTACACTGCTTTATAATCCAGTTCAAAGAAGATAATTTGGATTTTATATGGCAGTGTAGATGGGGCCTAAATTACAGCCAGGGATGAGGTGAAGGAAATAGTATACATTTTCCTTAGGGGAAGCAACAGATACTCACTCTAGTTTCTCAAAGATGTTGTTAGCTTTTGGCACTTGCTGAAACTTAACTAAATATAAAACCAGTCTATATGCATGCATGGTTACCTGCAAACAGTTTAGGATAGCATGCAAGAAAATATATAAATAATATTTATATTAACTCTCTCCAATGTCAGAAATATAGCTCAATGGTGTAACATTAGAAAATGTCGACCATTTCTGCTACCTTGGCAGCCATCTCTCCACAAGTCAATATTGACACTGAAATATAACACCACATGAGCTCTGCGAGTTCAGCATTTTCCCGAATGAAGCACAGAGTGTTTGAGGACCGGGACATCCATAGAGATACAAAGGTGCCTGTTTATAAAGTTATTGTCCTCCCAACCCTGCTATACACCTGCGAGACATGGACTATCTACAGACGTTACATGCAACTCCTAGAACAATTCCATCAGCATTGCCTCCGAAAAATCCTGCAAATCTCTTGGGAAGACAAATGGACAAATGTCAGTGTGCTGGAAGAAGCAAAGACCACCAGCATTGAAGCGATGGTCCTTTACCATCAATTCCGCTGGACCGGCCACGTTGTCTGGATGCCCGATCACCCACTGTCTCCCAAAGCAGTTGCTCTACTCRGAACTCAAGAATGGAAAACGGAAAGTTGGTGGACAGGAAAAGGGATTTAAAGATAGGCTCAAAGCCAACCTTAAAAACTCTGGCATAGACACTGAGAACTGGGAAGCCCTGGCCCTGGAGAGCTCCAGRTGGAGATCACCTGTGACCAGCAGTGCTGTGGAGTTTGAAGAGGCACGAATGGAGGGCGAAAGAGAGAAACATGCCAAGAGGAAGGCCCGTCAAGCCAACCCCGAATGGGACTGCCTTCCACTGGAAACAAATGTCCTCACTGCAGGAGAAGATGCAGATCAAGAATAGGGCTCCACAGTCACCTACGGACCCACCAGTACATTGATCTTGGAAGACTATCCTTCTCGGACAATGAGGGATCGCCTAAGTAAGCATGCAAGAAAATATAGGTGGCACTTGTTGTTGAATTCTATGTTTTGTTTTATATTAATTTTTGTTTTAACACTAACTAATATGGTGTGAAAACGAAGTGTTCTTTTATTTTTTTTAAAAAAAAACCCAAAGGTATATTTCTGCTGAGATCATGCTTTCCCCTGAGGAGATTATATCTTCTCACCTGAAAGGTGTGGCTGTGTAACCTTAGGCAAACAAAGGCCGTGTGTCATTACTTATCAGTGATGGAAAAATGATTTTCACAGTCTCAAGGAGCCTATGCTTTTTGTTAATACTTTATTTATATTACTGAAACTACATTCAGTAGTGTGCATCGTTTGAGCCACAACTTACCAGTCATAAAGCCTGGTTTGTGGTTGGTAAGCTGTGACTGAAATAATGCCTCTTCTTTCAGAAACTTGAGAAATGACTGATCAGTGATACTCTGGACTCTGTTCTGGAAACTAGGCCATTAATAGGGCACAATCTAGGACAAGGTGGAGAAAGCTCAGCCTGTGTACACTCCATGTGACCTCCTTCAGGTGTTTCTTGTAACTCACAGCCAACTCCCCTGTCTATTGCCGAAAAAATGCTTTATTTCTGGGTTTTTTTGGTCGTGTCAGGAGCGACTTGAGAAACTGCAATTCGCTTCTGGTGTGAGAGAATTGGCCGTCTGCAAGGACGTTGTCCAGTGAATGCCCGGATGTTTTGATGTGTTACCATCCTTGTGGGAAGCTTCTTTCATGTTCCCGCATGAGGAGCTGGAGCTAACAGAGGGAGCTCATCCATGGTCTCCCCAGATTCGGCACCCACTGCAAATCTCCAAGAATGGCATTTTTGATTTAAATCAGCATTTGGCAAAGCGTATTTCCAGACTATGGGTTACACAGTCCCATATCCCAGAATATCAAGGAAGAAAATCCTACATTATCTGAGTGTGGACTCAAATAACCCAGTTCAAAGTAAATAATGTGGGATTTTCTTCCTTGATATTCTGGGATATATGGCTGTGTCGAAGGGCCCTTAGTCTCCCTCAGGGTCCTTCCAGACAGGCCCAATATCCCACGATCTGATCCCAGGTTTTCTGATTTAAACTGGATTATACGATTCTGCACTGCCAGATAATCTGGGATAAACAGAAAACCTGGGATTATATCCTGGCATATGGGGCCTGTCTGGAAGGGCCATCAGATTATTGGTCCCTGGTCCATCAATCTCCTAAGGCCCTAAAAAGTTTTTAATTTTTTTTTGCTTTGTTCAGTTTTTGGGCTTAGATGAAGACACAAGTATTTCAGACCACAAGATGCTGTAACGGAAAAGCTAATTATAATGGAGTTTTTTTGTCTATGTTTATTAGTGTTGATGTTATGGCAAGGTCAGTCAAGAGCTGGTTACATTTGATTGGTCGTTGTGTTACCATGGCTACATAGCCTTTGCAGTAGAAATGTATCCATTTTAGAGTGGCTAGCAATAAAAGGGGCGGAGCTAGAAGACAAGAGAGGGAACATTTAAAAAAGTAGTGAGTCTCTAGCCAGGAGCTAGAGAAAAGAGGATCGGTATTTAAGTTTGTAACTTCCATCATTATATTGAAGTAAAGAAAAAACTAATATAAGTCTAAATTCTCAGTTAGGTAAAACTGAGAGACAGAGATTCCTTTAGGACTAAGTTTTCAGTCAAACTATTGATGGAAGAGAGTGACTAAAAGTCATAAGCTAACCAGCCAGGAGGCAGAGGAGAAATATATTTTGAAGGAGAAGAAAGTGGCTTAACAGAGTAGAAATAAGTTAAACTGTTTTGAAAGTTATGTAGTAATAATGTTTATGTATTCAAAGACAGTTGCAATAATATCCAAGTGGAACTGAAGTAAAGTACTTTGTAACAGATAAGCTTATGTGCAAAGGAATTCATAAATAAACATTTCTTTGTTTCAACATCTATATTAAAGTCTCGTGTCAAGTTACAGTACTAAAGTTACATGGCTGGAAATCAGTTGGAGATTACATTGATGTAACCTGTGAGGAGAAGCTACGTATCGACTCCAGGTTTGGGTTACACATTGAAGAAATATACACAGACATCTAAAAATTGCATCCTGTAACAAACACATATAAAGATAGGCAACACAGAGACACAGAGATAATGTGTTTCAGGCTTGAACTACAAGTCACTGAGTTTGTGAGGTTCGATTCCTCACTCTCCTTGTATCGCTGTACATGCACATACATATATCGCTACTATTAGTTCATCTGGCATGTTTAAAGCCATATATATGGATCTCACAAAACGTTAGGATACAGAAGGGAATGAGCTGGTGTGGGCACATTACGGTAACTGGAAGATGCTGGCTGAGTCTTCTTGAGAAGTGGGGTATAGAAAGCAGTTCTAAATCTGTCCAGGAAACTGTCATTCAGATAAATGCATCTGTTTGGCTGTATGATCGAACAATCAAATTTTCATCAAGGAGGAAAGAAAGAAACCTCGTGACTGCCTCTTTCTTGCATTTCTAGCTTCCAGGAACCTGAACACAAACCATTCTTCCTAGCCTCTGAGAACCACTGAAGAGTTATTCACCTATTTTTGCTTTGACAAACAATATTCTCTTTATTGCAGCTTCGTCCTTGATAGTACCACTGCTAAGCCCCACATTTCTCTTCCTGCGGCTGCTGAGCATACTTCTTTCCTTGATGTCAACATACCTTCTGCTTAGCACAGGGTAATTCTCTTCTTTATAAACGAAATTCTAGTGGTTTTCCCCCCATAGCTTATGCTATTTGAAGTCATATATTTTATTTTATTGGACTCTTACAAGTCTGCCATTGTGTTCCAACAATATGTTGAGAGGAATACATGAAATTTGGAAAGTGCTGTAGTTCCAGATAGGCGGAGTAAGCATAAGCATTTAACAAGCATTTAACAACAATACCCAGGCTTTTTTGGTATTCCAAAAACACAAACATTGTTTCGGAAATACTGGCAAAATATAAGAGCTGTTCAGCAGTTGAACTTTCTGAAACAGAATGTGGTGGAAGCTCCATCCTTGGAGGCTTTTAAACAGAGACTGGATGGCCATCTGTCGGGGGTACTTTGATTGTGCTTTTCCTGCATGGCAGCAGGTAGGACTAGATGTCCCTTGTGGTCTCTTCCAACTCTGTTATTCTGTGATTCTATGAAAATATGTGCAAAAGATTAGTGCAGTGGTTCTCAGCCTGTGGGTCTCCAGATGTTTTGGCCTTCAACTCCCAGAAATCCTAACACCTGGTAAAGTGGCTGGGATTTCTGGGAGTTGTAGGCCAAAACATCTGGGGACCCACAGGTTGAGAACCACTGGATTAGAACAATGTTTGTTAAAGTAGATGTCTGTTACTCATTTTTTAGCATCTCCAAGATCACATTCACAGTTGAAATTAAGAATTGGAAATTATGGCACCATCTACACTGCCATATAAAATGCTTTGAACTGAATTGTATGGCAGTGTAGACTCATACAATCCAGTTCGAGGGTAATGTGGATTATCGGATTTGATAATCTGGATTAAATGGCAGTGTAGATCCACCGTAAGAGAACTCTCAAATAAGTGCAAAATGTTTTGCCAACTATCTGGCATGACTGGGTTCATCAAAAATATATACAAAGGACGTGTATATTTCCTTGACTTGTATATTTCCTTGACTGTAGAGATCACATCTTCAGTTTGGCACCAGTTGCTTGATAAATGGTCTTACACAATTCCCTTCCCCAAGACCCCTCACATAAGGGGAGATCTGTGGATAAAATAAGGGCCTTCCACACAGCCATATAACCCAGAATATCAAGGCAGATAACCCACTGTATCTGCTTTTAATAGGAATATATGATAGTGTGGACTGAGATAACCGAGTTCAAAACAGATATTATGGGATTTTCTGCCATGATATTCTGTGTTATATGGCTTTGTGGAAGCGCCCTACGGCTCCCTCTACACTGTCATATAATCCAGATTGTCAAATCCACATTATCTGGTTGAACTGGATTATATGAGCCTACACTGCCATATAATACATTGCAAAGCAGGTAGTCTGGATTTTATATGGCAGTGTAAAAGGGGCCAAAATCAGTGATTTGATTTCTATTTTATGTTAAGTTGCTGTCAAACTATATATTCATATAGGTATGAAGCCCTTTTCCCTCTGGCATTGGCTTTGTTGATGTTTGTGTGGATAAATGTGGAGAAAGAAGCAATACATCTTCATGGAGTTTTACTTAATCCAAAGGTAATGTATGCTTCAGTATAGTTATAGAGGGTCACTGTATCTCTCCCTTCCCTCCCCCCCCCCCATTACTCCTCAGTAATTGTCTGGTTTTTTTTGTTTGTTTGTTTGTTTTGGTATCTGTGGTGCTAGTAATATGGTGGTGCCTAGCTAGAGGTTTTTAAAAAGCTTATTTTGCTATGGCCTGAGAGAGGCTACAGTAGTGATTACAGCATAGCCAGATCACCTGTAAATTGAATTATTTATTAAAATATTTATATCCTGCCATATATCTGAACATCTCAGAGCAGCTTACAGTAAAATGAAATTAAAAAAGGAAATACAGTACAACCCTCTAGCCACCTATTCTATATGCATAGTTTCATTTATTTGTGCTCCAAAATAAATAAATAAATAAATATGCCATTCTGTTCTATGATGATCAAGTCACAGCTGTGTCTGATGCTGGATATCATATTTCAAGAATACTGACTAATTGGAACATGTCTAGAGGAGCACAGTGAAGTCCTAAGCGAAACAGCTGAAAGACTTCAGGATATTTAGCCCAGCGTAGATAATATTAAAGAGACACAAGAACTGAAGATGGAGCAGACATGTCCTCAGTTGTTCCAGCTTGGAGGACTAGATTCTACCATTAATGGGTAGAAACTGCAAGATGGTAGACTTTGGCTAAATATTAGGCGTTTCCTAATGGTAGGAGAGAAATACTGGCAGGTGCAATGTTGTAAGCCTATAAACCAATGGGTTGTTATAATTTTTTTGGGGCTGTATGGCCATGTTCCAGAAGCAGTCTCTCCTGACGTTTTGCCTGAATCTATGGCAGGCATCCTCAGAGGTTCTGAGGTCTGTTGGAAACTAGGAAAATGGAGTTTATATATCTGTGGAATGCCCAGGATGGGAGAAATAACTCTTGTCTGTTGGAGGTAGGTGTGAATGCTTCAGTTGGCTACCTTGATTAGCATTTAGTGGTCTAGCATTTTCAAGATGTGTCTTCTTACTGCCTGGGGAAATCCTTTGTTGAGAGGTGATTAGCTGTCCCTGATTGTTTCTTGTCTGGACTTCCTCTGTTTTTGAGAGTTGTTTTTTATTTACTGTTATGATTTTAGGGTTTTTTAATACTTGTAGCCAAATTTTGTTCATTTTCATGGTTTCTTCCTTTGCGTTGCAATTGTCCACATGCTTGTGGATTTCAGTGGTTTCTCTGTGTAGCCTGACATGGTGGTTGTTAGAGTGGTTCAGCATTTCTGGACCACTCTAACAATTTGTGTTCTCAAATAATATGCTGTGTCCAGGTTGATTCATCAGGTGTTCTTCTATGGCTGACTTCTCTGATTGTAGTAGTCTGCAGTGCCTTTCATGTTCCTTGATTCGTGTTTGGGTGCTGTGTTTGGTGGTCCCTATGTAGACTTGTCCATAGCTGTAAAGTATATGGTAGACTCCTGCAGAAGTGAGAGGATCCCTCTTGTCTTTTACGGAACGTAGCATTTGTTGGATTTTCTTAGTGGGCCTGTAGATAGTTTGTAGGTTGTGTTTCCTCATCAGCTTCCCAATGCGGTCAGTGGTTCCCTTGATGTATGACAAGGACACTTTTCCTCTGGGTTGATCTTTGTCTTTACTCTTGTGGCTTGTTCTCGGTCTTGCAGCTCTTCTGATGTCTGAGGTGGAGTATCCATTGACCTGTAAAGCACAGTTTAAGTGGTTGAGTTCATCTTGGAGGAGGTGGGGCTCGCAGATTCTTTTTGCACGGTCTGCCAGGGCTTTAATTGTGCTTCTTTTTTTTTACTTGGGTGGTGGTTGGAGTTTTTATTTAGGTGTCTGTGTGACCCAATTGTTGATCTGGTTTTCAGATGGCTAGAACATCTAGAAATGGCAGTTTCCCTTCATTTTCTTTCTCCATAGTGAATTGGATGTTTGGGTGGATGCTGTTAAGGTGGTCCAGGAATCTGTTTAGTTCTTCTCCATGGCTCCAAATGGTGAAGATGCCATCCACATATCTGAACCATATAGTGGGCTTTTTTGTTGTTGTTTCCAGAGCTTATTTTTCAATATGTCCCATGTGGAAATTTGCTATGACAAGTCTGAGAGGGCTCCCCATAACTACTCCATCTTCCTGTTCATAGAATTCATTCTCCCACTGGAAGTAGCTTGTGGTGAGGCAATGGTGAAACAGAGCTGTGATGTCTTCTCCTCACAACTTCTTAGGATGCCTGCCATAGATGCAAGCGAAACGTCAGGAGAGAATGCTTCTGGAACATGGCCATATAGCCCAAAAAACTTACAACAACCCAGTGATTCCAGCTATGAAAGCCTTCGATAATACATATAAACCAATACCGCACAGGAGGGAAACAAGTTTGTCTGCAATTATGATCTGGTATCTCAGTTATTTCCTTCTATACCCAACTAGAATAGAACTGCAGAATCAACTTTTGTGAACTTTGAGAATATGTCTCTTTCTAGTACGTGCAGGTAAGGGAAGAAGAAATAGTAAAGCAAATGGAGAGGTCAGGGAGTTATTTCCTTACCTGAGGCGGCAGCAGTTTTTCCACTTGATCATCCTCCTTGAACGATAACTTTCTTGAGAGAGTCATTAAAGTATAATAAAACTGTAGGAGAAGAGGCTTTCATTGCAATACAGGCTGGTTTCTCTGAAGGAATTGCTCTTTAATTTCTCATTTGCTCCCTGGAAAATACGCCTTTTAATATCAATCTGATGCCAACTGATGTTTCCTTTATTGATTTCTCTTATGCTTTCTTTATAGCTTGCTGCGCTCAGCTTTTCAAACGCTACTGATATAACACAGTTTCGACAACTCCATGTGGACGACATCAGGCGATCGTTTTTCTTTGTATCCTTGTGCTCTTGAGCCAAGATGTTGTTGAGAGAAGCTCCGTTCACAGCATAAATGTTTATGCAATAATTGAATGAGTTTCCAGTACCGATGAGTATGAATATTGTTTTCCAAAAAAAATTCCATAGTTGTTGCTGGGAGGAGACACAATAGATGGGGCAGAAGCTAGTGGTGAGCAGCCCCATCTATTGTGTCTCCTTTGAGTCCCCCTTGGGGTGAGAAAAGTAGTATACAAATACTGTAAATAAAGAAATAAGAGCAAAATAGGTGAGCAACCTCTGTTTTTCTCTACTCCCCATCAGGCAGGCTACTTTTTTGTGTCAGAAGCAACTTGAGAAATGGCAAGGGTGGGAGAAAGAACTCTTGTCTGTTTAAGGCAGGTGTGAATGTTGCAATTGGCCACCTTGATTAGCATTTAATAACCTTGCACTTTCAAGGTCTTGCTGCCTGCTGCCTGCTGCCTGGGGGATACTTTGTTGGGAGGTAATTAGCTGGCCCTGATTGTTTCTTGTCTGGAATTCTCTTGTTTTTGAGTGTTGTTCTTTATTTACTGTTTTGATTTTAGAGCTTTTAAATACTGGTAATCAGATTTTTTTTCTTTTTCATGGTTTTCTCTTTTCTGTTGTAATTGTCCACATGCTTGTGGATTTCAGTGGCATCTCTGTGTAGTCTGTACTAAGCTAACAAATAATAATAATAATAATAATAATAATACTTTAGTTATAACCCGCTACCATCTCCCTAAGGGACTTGGTGCAGCTTACATGAGGCCGAGCCCACAGTACATCAATAATAAAAACAATAACAACAAGTGATACAAAACAATAATAATAAAACTCATAACAGAAAATAAGCAATAAACATTAACAGTAACACAACAACATTCAAAAACCTTTGGCTGGGCCAAATGTAATAATTAAATTACACTCCTAGATCAATAATAAAGTGCATTTAGAGGACATATTGCTGGGAGTTACCTTATTCTGGGAAGGCACACTGGAACAACCACATTTTCAGGCTCCTCCTAAAGACTGCCAGAGTTGGGGCATGCCTGAAGTCCTTGTTGAGGACTTGAGACTTGAGCAGTGTGGGGTTTTATCTCAATAATTAGGTCTGCAAGAAACAAGAAAACCAGACCCAAAATAACTTCAACAACTAAGGGGGTAGTAACCAGTGCCTGAATTTGCAGAGAAAAAGACTGAGGCAGGGGGTTTGGAAAAAGAAGAGGAAAAGTCATCCTGGCACTTGCTTCCTCTAATCAGCCATCCTGCAGGGACTGTAGAAGTAGAATTTTCTTTCATTAGGCTTGTCTCTCAGCAGCAAGATAATGAGGCCTGGTTTAACCAGAAAAATGGGAGTTGCTCTCACTTTCTTTCTTTTTTTAACTATTTATTTATTATTTAGATCACTGACCAGCAGTATAGGAAAACATAAGACAAACAAAATATAGAACATATAGTATACCTGCTTCTCTTCCTTTTTCTATTGGATATTTAAAACGGATTGGTCCTAATAACCATGCATTTAGAATCTTTGAGGTACACATCTCCTATTTCTTCAGTTGACAAATATTAAAACCATGTGGATCTAACGAAGCAATAGGATACAAAAAAGAGTGAATTGATGCTGATGCATTTGATTATTTATAGCAAGGGTAGGGAATGTGTTGTCCTTCATGGTTGCTCAGTGTTACTGAGAGCTAGTGGAAGTTGTACCAACAATATCTGGGAGGTTACACTTGTCTCACTTCTCAGTTTTGGAATAAACACTATTTTCCTGAGATGGCATGCAGAGGAAATTTTAGGCACTCTCAAAAAGTCATTCAAATGCCCTTTTTGTGACCATGTACTTAAATGATGTGCTAAGTACCTCTGCAAATAGCTGTCTGCCCACATCTCCATTCTTTTGTTACAGATGTGGCATGATGACATATTTTCTCATTTCCTCTGCTTTTCCTTACTGCTTGAATTGAGAAACGCAGCATTTATTTGATCTGAGGAAATAGTGTAGTTTCAGTGCATATGAAGAGGCAACCACTAATGTGTAAATATGTGTTTGCTATGTGTGTAAAACAAATGATGGAGAGCTAGTATGGACAGATTGCCCTCATTTGAGTTTGCAATCCTATTCATGTTTTGCTTGGAATCTACTGGCCTCTTTCACACCACCCCTAAATCCAGGATCTGATCCCAGATTATCTGCTTATGCCAGATTATCTGGCAGTGGTGAGTCATATAATCCAGTTTAACCATGATAATCTGGAATCAGACACTGGGATATAGGGTACTATAGAAGGGGCTAAAGTATCCTATGGGGTTTGGTTCCTTCCTCTGTACTCCTTATCTAAAATCCCGTATATAAATGGTGAAGAACTCAGATTAGTGCTAGAATTCCCTCTGCCCCATATTTGTCTTGGTTGAATCTGTGGATGCAGAACCTATAGATCAGGGGTCCTCAAACTATGGCCCAGGGGCCAGATATGGCCCGCCAAGGTCATTTACACGGCCCTCGCTCAGGGTCAACCTAAGTCTGAAACAACTTGAAAGCACACAACAACAATCCTATCTCATCAGCCAAAAGCAGGCCCACACTTCCCATTGAAATACTAATAAGTTTATATTTGTTAAAATTGTTCTTCATTTTAATTATTGTATTGTTTGTAAGTGTTTTTTTTTTTTTGCACTACAAATAAGATATGTGCAGTGTGCATAGGAGAGCCTTCATTTTTTTCAAAATTATAATCCGGCCCTCCAACAGTTTGAGGGTCTGTGACCTGGCCCTCTGTTTAAAAAGTTTGAGGACCCCTGCTAGAGATAGTGAGCTTTATTCTACAAGTGAGATTTTATCAGAGATGCTGTTTTTTCACGTAAGAAATAGGTTAAACAAATGTGTCATTTTGTGTTTTCCTTAACACCGTGCAGCTTTTCTTCATAGTGACAGCTTTCTTTGGTACTGGAAACATAGCTTCTGTTAACAGGTAAATATTTTTCTTTCTATCTGTGAGAGCCGAGTGGGGAAAAAGATCATCACAATCCATCCCTTTTTTCAGCTAGATCTTCTCTGGAACATAAGACTTGAATAGATTTTTCTTAGAAGTTCACAATTTATTTTGTTTTGCTAACCCCTTTTTCAGTTTAAGGTTGCTTTGCTTTTAACATGACACAAAGATATAGAAGGGGCAGAACCCGCTGCTTCTGATTTTCAAATTTTCACCAGGCATTTCGCCACTAAATGAATACATCCTCTTGAATTAAATATAGGCATGTCATATATACATGTATCTATACATCTTTGAATTAGTCTATGAATTCTGAGACCAGGATTTGAATCTCCACTCAGCTATGGAAATCCATTGGATGACCCAGAACAAGTCACACTCTTTCAGCCTCAGAGAAAAACAAAATCAACCCTCCTCTGAACAAATATTTCCCAGAAAGCTCTATGATTGGTTTGTCTTGAGTTTGCCATAAGTTGGAAATGACTGGAAGGCAAATTGTGGCAGCAACATATATCCATCCATGCATACATGTCTCCTTAAAAGGTAAAGGATTTTCCTGACATTAAGTCTAGTCATGTCTGACTCTCGGGGGTGGTGCTCATCTCCATTTCTAAGCCATTGTCCATAGATGCAGCCAAGGTCACGTGGCCAGCATATCTGCATAGAGCACCGTTACCTTTGTGCAGAAGTGGTACCTATTGATTTACTCACATTTGCGTGTTTTCTAACTCCTAGGTTGGCAGAAGCTGGGGCTAACACCGGGAGCTCACCCTGCCCCCCGGATTCGAACTGCCAACCTTTCGGTCAGCAAGTTCAGCAGATCAGCAGTTTAACCTGCTGTACCACCAGAGCCTAGATACCCTGCTTACTTGCCTAGATATGCTGAAGGCACCAAATCTTTTGTGGTCTCAGGCCTGATAATACTTGGAACAAACCACAAAATAATGTTTTTTGAAGAAGGGAAGGAGAAACTTCCACTTAATAAATCTTGCCAAGGAAATTCTATTGTAAGTCTTTTATAAGTCAGAATCAGCTTGAAGGCACATAACAACAACACATCTGTAGACGTGATGCAACCCCATCTGTCTGAATTCTCCATCTGCAAAATAAATCTGAAATTTGGTTCACAAGTACTAACAGGTCACAGAGTGTGACAACTCTTGTGCTCTGCATTGGCTTCCACAAATATGTCATCTGGGTATACCCAAGTATTGATCTGACAGCTGAAAAAGGTGCCACAAATTGGGAAACATTTGATAAAACAACAGTGATACAAATAGCAAGCAAGAACAGTCACTTGCTAATGGAAAGAGCTAAAATCAACCTGCAAAAGGATAAGCAACATATTAAAAAGCACCTGCATGTGTTTTGTAAGTCTTGTACATAATGCATCATATTTTTGTAGTAAAGAGGAAATGGTGCCTTAGATTTCCTGGTGGTAAACAAACACTACATATTTATTTTCTTCTCGTTTATGCTTCTAGCTTTGATCCAACTTCGGTGTATTGCTTCTTGACGGTTTTTAGTCCTTTTCTAATGGGAGGCTTGCTGTTGTGGAAGGTAGGTAAACAGATCTTTCCATAATTCTTATAATGTCATAGTACATATGTGTATGTTTGCACATAAATGTAACTGTTGCAGAAGAATGATTTTGTTGGGAAGCATAGGTTTTGCCTCTATTTTGGGTGATCCTACCGTAAAACGGCAAGAAGGTAATTGGAACATCTTTGCCAAAATTGCAAAATCTGTGGATTGCACAAGGTCAAGAAATACAGGCAAAAGAAGAAAGAGGTCTTCACATGCTTACTGATGGCTCTATTTAATCTAACAGCAGGAGAAATTTCTGGAGTTACTGAAAAATCTCTATATGGTAGACTATTACACAACAAAAAGGGAACTGTGCTTTCTTGTTTTTCTAACCATCTGCTGAAATGTATAAACAAATAAAAATTGAAAGCCTAGTTCCCCTTTTATTGCATAACAGTCCAGTATACAAAGAAAGGTTTTCAGCAGCTTCGGAAATTTCTCCTGTTGTTAGATTGAATGTCTAGCTCCTTAAAAGGTCAATAAATAATATAAGGGCCAAAAAAGCATTGGGCTTTTTATAACATAGGATAAGCAAAAAAAACTGTTTAAAGAATGAAATACAATAATCCATAAGCACATGAAGACCTCTTTCTTTTGCCTGTTGATCCTAATATGTGCTTTCTACTATCATTTTGTAATTCTGACATGGCTAGAAAGTTATAGCACTTAGGCAGAAAAAATGAAATGCAAAGATACAGAATGGGGAATGCCTAGCTCGACAGCAGTACGTGTGAAAAAGATCTTGGAGTCCTTGTGGACAACAAGTTAAACATGAGCCAACAATGTGATGCAGCGGCTAAAAAAACCAATGAGATTTTGGCTTGCATAAATAGTATAATGTCTAAATCCAGGGAACTCATGCTACTATTCTGCCTTGGTCAGACCACGTCTGGAATCCTATATCCAATTCTGGGTACCACAATTTAAGGGAGATGTTGACAAGTTGGAATGTGTTCAGAGGAGGGCAACAAAAATGATCAAGGGTTTGGAGAACAAGCGCTATGAAGAGTGGCTTAAAGAGCTGGGCATATTTAGGTTGCAGAAGAGAAGGCTGAGAGAAGACATGATAGCCATGTATAAATATGCAAGGTAAAGTCATAGGGAGCGAGCTTGTTTTCTGCCGCCCTGAAGACTACAATGCAGAATAATGAAGGAGATTCCACCTGAACATTAGGAAGAATTTCCTAACTGTGAGAGCTGTTCAGCAGTGGAACTCTCTGCCTCGGAGTGTGGTGGAGGCTTCTTCTTTGGAGGCTTTTATACAGAGGCTGGATTGCCATCTGTCAGGGGTACTTTCAGTACAATTTTCCTGCTTCTTGACAGGAGGTTGGACCGGATGTCCCACGAGGTCTCTTCCAATGCTGTGATTTTATGATTCTGACAGTGGGAGACAGATCTTTCATGAGCTTCCAGCAATAACCTATTGTAAGCTACACAGAATCATAGAAATCAAGCTACATAGAATAAATATTAATGAAGTAATATAATTCCATATGAATTAATATTTGTAACGGTTGCATGTAGCAATAAATCACAGTAAAATGTAAAAATATACATTAAATAGAATAAATCTGTAAGATGTTTATGGAGCTGACTATGTGGATCATAAATACCAACTAGTACTACAGCTAGATTACTTATGTGGAAAAGAAACTTGCTTTCTTCAGGAATCCCACCAATTTCCAGGCCAAATGAGATGAAATGGACAAAACGTTTATCTGTTCTATTTTATTTTTGTCTTGATCATGTAGCATTTCTCACTACATGCAACTACATGCAATATAAACTCTTTAATTCTATGGCACAATAAAGTAGTGGGCAGTGGGGAGTAATTGCTAAATATTTCTCAAGCCATCTCTCCAAATCCCATGATAAAATAAAACCACATTGCTTAAATTCTCAAATGCTTTTTTTGAATTTGCACTAAGAACTCCAAACTAGCAATTTAAAATATTGAATGGGATGAGTAACTTTCACAGAACTGGGGGTCATTTTTCAGGTTGAACAAGTGCTTGAGGATTGCATCTTACAAGGAAGGGTGGAGCTTGGTACCATTTTTTAAACAATGTATAAAATAGAAACATAAGCTGTATTTCCATGTTTATATTTAATTTCCCTAAAAGCATTGTTAACAAATTACCCTTTCATAATTTATCATTATCAGATTTAAATTTATATTCAAATAAACCTTAAAGGGCCTTATATTATTGTATTGATTAACCTATTGCGTACAGTGCATTTTGTTCCTTTTTCCATTTATTGCAGTATATTTTTCAATTTGTCACCAAATTTAGGTGCCAAGCCATAATATCTCCAATATTTATAACAGGCATTTAAAAGTTTAGTGGAAATTCCACCCAGATACTGTTTTCATGCCAGATATACTCATATGAATTGTTTCTATGCCAGAGAATGTTTAATACTGAAGTATCCAGTAGTATTTGAATTGTACTTCAGCTACTTGAGATTGTAGGTGCTATCAATGTTTTTGTATTGAAAAGACTGAAGATGTGTTCCTGGAGCAATGGCTCCCAACCTTTTTTTGACCAGGGACCACTTGATCAGAGACCACTTTGACCAGTGACCACTTTGACCAGTGACCACTTTGACCAGGGACCACTCTTCAACATTAGTACCAAAAGGATTACAAATCAGTTTTTGGTCAACTTTAGATTTGGTTTGGTTATTTGGGGTGCTGATTCAGAAAATTGCATTGGATAGACCACATCAGCTCTAGTTTCTGATACACAACATAGGCCATCCAGTAGTTGCTATCTGCTCGCCCACAGAAAACCATATTTAATAAGCCTCGGCACTATAAGAGAGTTTCGCAAGACCAGTTGCTCTCGTTGCAATATTGTGGTAACAATGAGGCCACGGACAAGATTTTTGTTCTTGTGGACCACTGATGGTCCATAGACCACAAGTTGGGGACCACTGCTCTGGGGAGATAGCTTTTTATTAGTAGTGCTCTTCCTTAGAATATATAACCTCAAAAGAGAGAGTAAAATGACAACAATACTGGCATAACCCATTTTGATGTTAGAACTGATGAGCGTTAGATCTAATGAGACGAAATGGGTTGATAATACGTCCTAAAGTGTAGTATTGCCATAACTGAAGATAATGTGTCTATCAAGTAGATGAAATGCTGGTTAATTGGCTTTTGGGTTCAAATGAATCTTGAAAACTCCAGTTTTAGATTTGCTCGGTTCTCTGTGGAAACTAGCAACTCTTGATGCGTTGTGCACTTTGGTTTATTGAGAGATTGCCATTAGGTTGATATCATTTTGTGTCCTCAACAGATTGCAATCCCCTTTGTTCTTGTGTCGTGTGCGTTTGAAGCTGTGCAAGTCACTACCCAATTATCGTCTAAAAGGTACAATAAATGATTTTACTGAAGCAGCACTTTTTTCAGGGTTCATTATGGGATATGAGTAAAACAGTCCTCTGCTTTGTGTTGAGTGCAATTATCTATATTGTCTTTCTTGGAAAAAAATGGAACTTATCAGATCTGTGATCATGAAACAAAAGATCGTTTAAACCAGGCTCTCCAGTGACCTAATTGTGACTGCTTTTGTAAGCATCTATTTTCCGAGTGTACTGTATTGAATATATTGGCCTAAATCCTATTGATACTCCTGACTCGAGGAGACCCATTGAATCAATGAAGTGGACTCGCTGTTCAGCAATTGATTGAATGGATCTACTGTAGTTGGAATTAAGAGGAATCTAGTCATGATGTTAGATTGTAACCTAAGGATGGAAACTATCCCATTACATGTTGTTAAAAGTATAGCTCCCATTATCATTCATAATTAGCTAAGGTGACTAGGGGCTGGTGAGAACTGTGATCTAACAACATTTAGAAGCTATCCTCTGAATTACCAGTTAGGCTGTGTGATGTTGTCATTCTGTGATAGATGGCAGAACAGCCCCCCCCCCCTTGTAGTCTAAAATGGTACATCCCAACTATACAAATTCAATGAGCCTTTGGTAGCCTTTGGATACAAAGAGTTGTTTATTTATTTATTGTATCTGTAGCAAATGAAACATCATATTGTATTTTTTTAAAAAAAAACAAACGCACATACACACAAAGTTTGAAAACTTGGCATTATATTAAATGTCCTTTGACCAGTAGCTGGCCACTTGGAGTCCTCTGGTGTTATATAAGAAGGTCCTCCTTTGTGCATGTGGCAGGGCGCAGACTGCATTGTAATAGGTGGTGAGTGGTTTGCTCTTCTCCACACTCGCATGTCGTGGACTCCACTTTGTAGCCCCATTTCTTAAGGTTGGCTCTGCATCTCATGGTGCCACAGTGCAGTCTGTTTAGCACTTTCCAATTCGCCCTGTTTTATGTGTGCCCAGGAGGGAGTCTCTCATTTGGTACCTGCCATTGATTGAGGTTCTGGGTTTTAGCCTGCCACTTTTGGACTCTTGCTTGCTGAGGTGTTCCAGCAAGTGTCTCTGTAGATCATAGAAAACTATTTCTTGATTTAAGGTGTTGGCGTGCTGGCTGATATCCGAACAGGGGATGGGCTGGAGATGTCACTGCCTTGGTCCTTTCACTATTGCTTGCTACTTCCCGGCGGATGTCAGGTGGTGCAATACCAGCTAAACAGTGTAATTTCTCCAGTGGTGTAGGGCGCAGACACCCCATGATAATAGCATGTCTCTTTAAGAGCCACATCCACTGTTTTAGCGTGGTGAAATGTGTTCCGCACTGGGCATTCATACTCAGCAGCAGAGTAGCATAGCGCAAGGGCAGATGTCTTCACTTTATCTGGTTGTGATCCCCAGGTTGTGCCAGTCAGCTTTCGTATGATATTGTTTCTAGCACCCAAGTTTTGCTTGATATTCAGGCAGTGCTTCTTGAAGGTCAGAGAACGGTCCAGGGTAACTCCCAGGTATTCGGGTGTGCTGTGGGATTCCTTCCCAGGTAATTCAAATACAGATGACTGTATTTGAATCTGATATTATCCATCACTAGAACTATATCTGGGCATGGTTCATGCACTTTAGGAATGGAGTGCGGAACAGCATGGTGGAGGAGGACCAACCATTCACATGGCTTTTCATTTCACAGGATCCATTCTTCCTGTTCATTAAGCAGGGGAGACTGCTCAAAACATGCTTTGGCATATGGGCCTCCATTTATAGAGAAGTCACATCATATGTTTTGGATGGATTTTCTTTTTGTTCTGTGATGGCTATTGCCGGATAGGTGTTTGATCATTGTTTCAGTCCAATCAAGGCTATCATTAGTGCTGTCTGTTCTTGTTGTTCCCTACCATCTGTATTCTGTAACACAGGATAATCACATTTCAGTAAGGGGAAGCTAAAGTTAGGAATAGCCTCATGTTTAATGGAAGTTTTTCCCCTGTGGTTGCTGCTAATGATTTTGAATGTGATATAAACCATGAAAGAGTGAAGGTTCTTATGGGCGATTTCCCGCTGTCTTATTAGTTGATGAGTTATGTCTCTGTGAGATCATCCCTCAGTGTTTTGACAACACTTTGAGAAACATGATAGGATCTAGTTATACATCTGCTTTGTTTCAGGTAAATAAGCTTAAAAGTTAATATGCAGCAACTATATTTGTCACATTTTGGCAATTGTAGAATCATAGAGCTGGAAGGGGTCCTATGTAAGATACTATTAATTTACTATGCTTGATTCTTGATCATATGATCAGAGTCTGTTTTTTCTTAGAGGGAAGTCATTTATTAGAAGTGATTGTGATTTGCTTAGTGCCATGATCTAGCACATTTTAATGAAATTTCACCCTATAACTGATAGTAGTCTTCCAATTATAATTCTTAGGAATTAAATTATTATTGAAGTTAATGGCTCATCTCTTCTCCCTGCTACTAGGTCAGCTGTTTGCAGAATTATTTTAGTTCAAGTCCCTGACAAAACCAGTCATTAGCAATTTAGGGTAGTGCTCACTTAGCCTAATATTTCAATTGCTTAATGAAAAGATAAAGATAATGAAACAGTCTTTAGTTGTGTTTTATTTCACTTGCTCATAGTCCACTGCACTCATGGAAATGTGCAAACAGAAATGGTCTTGGCTACCAAAGACTTGGATACCTATGTCTTGTGCCTTAGGGCTAAGTAGAAGTCAGCATTCAGTCATTCATGAACCCGATAGAGATTTATAATTGAATGGTTTTCACTAAAGAGTTTCTGCCTTATCAGTGCAGAACAAATAAAAATTGGTGCAGCCTAGTTACCCTTGAGGGATATTGGAACTGTGAATGACAGTTTAGCTCCATTTGAGATTTTAGTAGGAGTTTCCCCAAAAATTGTAGGTCAGAAGTGGAGCAACTTGTGCCACTCTAGATGGTTTTGAATTCCCAGCTTCCATCTGCCCCAGGCAGCTTAGTCAATGTTTAGGAAAGATGAAAGAGGGAATCCAGCAACACCTGGAGAATCAGGTTTTGGGCTCCAGGTATAGGTTAAGATCCCAAAATCTATTTTCAGTTGTGTAAGATGGAGATGAAAATCATTCAGAACAATGAAAAGTTGTTTTGTGATACACACAAGCACACATTCATTATTAACTGCATTTGTACTCCACCCGTCTCACCCCGCAGGGTACTCGGAACGGCCTTAAAACAGGCAACAATTCAATACCATTACATATTTATTTATTTATGTATTTACCATATTTATATACCGCCTTTCTCAGCCTGGAGGCGACTCAAGGCGGTTTTTATGGACATACACATGTCCATAAAATAAACAAATACATTAAAATCCTAGCAGTTAAAAACATCAGTTATTAAAACATCAATTAAAACCACTCAATCCAAATAATAATCGAGGGCCATTCCATTTGTCAATGGTATTGATTCATATCCCTTATTGCACTGCTCAATTTATTGATCAAAGGCTTGGTCCCAAAGGCACATTTTAAGTTTTTTCTTGAAGGTCAGGTGAGAGGGGGCTGATCTAATTTTACTGGGGAGGGAGTTCCATAGATGAGGGGCCACCACTGAAAAGGCCCTGTCTCTTGTCCCTACCTGCAACTGAGGTGGAACTGAGAGCAAGGCCTCCCCCAACGATCTTAACCTTGGAGGTCGATCATATAGGGAGATATGTTCGGACAGGTAAGCTGTCAGAACGTATAATGTTTCACTTTCTATTATATTGACTTATAATGTTTCATTTTCTATTATATTGATTTATTTATATCTTTCTTTCTTCCAAGGTGCTTAGGAAAGTACAAATATGACTTATACCCGAAGCCCCACCACTATGACTCACTTATCCATTGAAACTCACTGGATGGTCTTGAGGAAGTCATACTTTCTAAACTACAGAGGAGGGCAAAAGCAGCCCTCTCTAAACAAGTTTTGCCAAGAAAACCCTGTCATCATAATACATTTTTGTTACCCGCCTCCCCTTACAGCTCAAGGCGGGGTACAACAGTGTCAAAAATATGAACATAAAATACAAATATAATAGGATTGCCTTAGGATTGCCATAAGTCTGAAACAAATTGAAAGCATATAATAACAAAAAGGGAAGTTGGCTCCATAGTTATAATTTTAAAAAGGTCATGAAATTCACCTTCCCTTAATGAGAGTTTGGTAATGTGATGGTTAAAACATAGAATGGCTAACACCTACGATCCTAAGACAAGGAATAAAAGCGAAACAGATCAAAGAAGAGTAGCTGTGTGCTTCTCAAATACATTTTGTCATATTCTTGGAATTCTGCGAAGCTTTGTTGTTGCACTGTTGAACTATGAGTTATGTTCCTCCTCTGACCTGCGCTCTTGTTCTTGCTCTCTTTCCCCAGGCTTTTCCTCATTGTTCTTGTGATTTCAGACATCATGGCTTTGGTAAGCTACTGTTGGACGTTCTGTACAAATAAGATCAAAACCCAGGGAGCTCTGCTAATTCAGTGAAGAGATATCTGAATTAGTTTCAGACTTCAAAGTTTCTAGAACTGGGACAGGGAGCTGAATTGAAACCCTGCATAAATTGTAGATAGGAATCCCCCTCCTTTCACAATCCTTTGTACATCATGTAATGAATGTATCTGAAGAGACGTAATCTTTATTACTTCGGTTCTTCCACGGTGCTATTTTTAAGTTAGCAATGCTAGGTTTTCATCTACTTCATACCAAATGTTCAAGGCTGAGTGAAAGGGAATGCCAGATGTACCTGGGTGCCTAGTTTAATTTTTCATCCTTTTCTTCCCTGCCTTCAGAACAAAAGAAAAAATATGTCATGGTCTGGCCTCATTTTTCAAAGGAAATGTCAGAATAACCAAGTAAAAAGTTGGGGAAGGAGACCCAAGGAGGCATAAATGAGGCTATTCATGTACACAGTCTGAGCTAGGATAGAGAGACCCACTGCTTAAATCAGGATCAAGAATGATTAAATGTCATATTTTTTAAATGAAAAACTATGTGTTTTCCTCAAAATCATGTTCATTGGCTGCAGTATATGTATATGCTGTTACATGGTTTGAAGAGATACGTTTTCAGAGATGTAGGGGAAAGGGTTATGTTATTTTATCTTTTCACATCCTGTAATTTCCCTGGAGAATTTAGTTGAAGTGACAACAGCTTCTACCTTTGTTATATCACAACATGAAACTAAATACAAGAAGCATATCTAATGGTAGACACCAGAGGCTATAAGAAGTTTAATTACAGAGTAATTAACCAATGAAATGGAGGAAATGAGTGAGAATGAAAGGAGTTTGTGACCTTTTTCGGTTTCCAATCCGGAAATGTATTTTAAAAATGCCAACCCAGAAAATCAGTTCATTCTATTTAATTTTTAAAATGCATAAAGAAGTTGTTGAACTAGCATGACAGTTGTTTGACTTGGTGTAGATCCAACACATAGGAGGAAATACTTACAACTAAATGTTGAAAAATTCTAGGTAAATTCTCCTGTATATATTGCCAATTCAGAAGATAACATTTATCCTATTAAAACTAGGAGTGGGCACCGAAAATACATTTTATTAGGAAACACAAAGTATGGAAAGCTGTGCCCCACAGCCTTGATGTTTATTGGGCTCACTGTCAGTAGCTTTAATGTCTGGGTTTAGTGAGACTACTTGAAAGACCGCATCTCTCTATATAAACCAACATGAGCCAAGGAGGCCCTCCTCTCGGTCCCACCCCTGTCTTAAGCGCAGCTGGTGGGAACAAGAAAAAGGGCCTTCTCCGTGATTGCTCCCCACTTCTGGAAATCCCTCCCTAAAGAGTTAAAAATGGCCTTCTCTCTCCTCTCCTTCAAAAAGCTATGAAAAACATACTTATGCAATTTAGCTTTCGGAGAGGAGAAGGATTCAGTATATCTATTTGTACCTTGCCTAGCTGCTAGCATCCACCTAGTTAAATTGCTGTTTTCCATCTCTCCCCCAACAATTTTATCCTAATTTTAGAGATTTTAAATGATAGTTTAAGGATTTAATATGTTATTAATTATTTGGATTATTTTATGTCTTGTTTATTTATGTCAGTTTATAATTTACTGAGGTGTTCTTGATTTGTTTACATATTACTGTCGGCATTGTGTATTTTGTTGTGAGCCTCCCTGAGTTCCTTCGGGGAGATAGGGCAGGCTATAAATAAAGTTTCATTTCCATTCATTTCATTTCATTTCAACTGGGGATCAACATCTGGAAGGCCGTTGTTGGCACCCCAGCATAGTCCTTTACTACACACAGGACTTTATATCAGTAATACCATTTTGGTTAGTGATTTACATAGCCGAAGGGGAATGACTTGAGAAAGACCACTCAGAGGTCAAAGAAGAAGTTAAGAAGGGGAATCGTTCTTCCTTCTCTCCCTTGTGAAATAAGAAATCAATTATGGATGGTGTCCTGCTTCTGCAAGCAGTAGCCAATGCAGTGAGGTCTCGGAGATGATGTGAATGAATTTATCAGCCATTTTTACTGGGCGTTAAAAGAGATGTATTTTAGAATTTGCAATCAATATGGTCACTGGCCATACAGACTGAGAGATGCTGGGAACTGTAGTCCAAAGGAGTACTTCTGCCAAGCTCTGGAAAACACATCCTCTTGTAAAATCAAGCTGGGTGCAGAGAGTTCATATTTTCAGAGGAATTTGAACCGATTTTCCTCGTGTTCAGGTCCACTTCCCTGAAGACCTCTTTCCTTATTTGTTTGTTGTTCAGTTCAATATTGTTGCATGGCATCTTTTACTTCAAGAGTTCAATGCTGTGAATGAGCAACCTGAAGCAGGAATTTGAACCTTGTCGTTTTCCTTGTGCAATGTTTGTATACTGAACAAAACTGTTTTTTAATTTCTCTCTCTCTCTTTTTCCCGTAGCACTTCTTCTTTCTGGTTAAAGATTATGGAAGCTGGCTGGACATCGGAACAAGGTACAAGGCAACTGCTATATGGACTTCTGTTCTTTCTTGTTCCTCATTTGGAGTCTATAAAAATGTGTGGCTTCCCATGTTAACTTGAATATATTTCACAATGTCGTCATTGCTAAAAGGCTGCTAACTGACCGTGTTTCAGTGACACCAGCAATATCTTTTTAGTGCCCAGGTTCATAGTGTCATTGTTCCATTTTGTTCAGTTATTTTTATTTCTTTCCTTGTAAATTTGTCTTGTGGCTGGTTCAATGTCATGGCAATGAGATATTATCCTAGCTATCTTTTCAGCCCTACGCATATTTACCATCTCTCTGCATCTACCACTGATGAGTCCTTTTTAGTCATATTACAATCATACATACTATTTTCCTACATTGGGGGGCTTCGGATTTTTTTAATTCTTAAAAATTGTTTAAAAGTCTCAAGCTTCCAAATTGTTAAATGACATTGCAGAAGGCCAGTCTGGTATTTTTGAGTGTAGTGGTCTAGGGAGCTGGTTTTATTTTCCAGAAAAGGATTGCATGATAGGTTGATGTCTACAGAAAAGGGGTAGTGATGGAATTCTGCCTTTGAATATGGTGAACACTCTTCTTCCCTTGCATTCAATCTTAACTTCTTCATCTTGGTAGTGGTATCTTGAGAGAAACACGGGGCCCGGGGGGGGGGGGGACCTCCCTACCAGCTCAGTCAATGACATGTTCAGGGTAATTGAAAAGTTATTTTTTTTAAGTAATTTAYCTCCAYTTCTCATTTCAAAATAACAGTTTTTTTTAATCATGTCAGAAGCGGTACAGTTTTAAAGTATTTTAAAAGACACAAACAAAGTTTTTTTAAAAAAAAATGGCATTATGCTAGATTTTGTTTGACCAGAAGCTGGCCACTTGGAGTGCCTTTGGTGTTGCTGTGAGAAGGTCCTCCATTGTGCATGTGGCGGGGCTCAGGCTACATTATAGTAGGTTGTCTGTGGTTTGCTCTTCTCCACACTCACATGTTGTGGACTCCACTTTGTAGCCCCATTTCATAAGATTGGCTCTGCATCTTGTGGTGCCAGAGCACCTTCCAGGCCACCCAGTCTTCTGTGTGCCCAGGAGGGAGTTTTTCATTTGGTCTCAGCTACAGATTGAGGTTCCGGGTTTTAGCCTGCCACTTTTGGACTCTCGCTTGCTGGGGTGTTCCTTTGAGTGTCTCTGTGGATTTTAGGAAGCTGTTTCTTGATTTAAGACATTAGCTTGCTGGCTGATATCCGAATAGGGGATGGGCTGGAGATGTCAATGCCTTGGTCCTTTCATTGCTGGCTGCTACTTTCTGACAGATGTCAGGTGGTGCAGTACTGGCTAAACAGTATAATTTCTCCAGCAATGTAGGGCGAAGACATCCTGTGATAATGCGGCATGTCTCATTAAGAGCCACATCCAATGTTTTAACGTGGTGAGATGCATTCCACACTGGGCATGCATACTTAGCAGCAGAGTAGGAAATGCACAAGGGCAGATGTCTTCACTGTGCCTGGTTGTGATCCCCAGGTTGAGCCAGTCAGCTTTCATACAATATTATTTCTAGCACCCACCTTTTGCTTGATATTCAAGCAATACTTCTTGTAAGTCAAAGCTTGGTCCAGAGTGACTTTCAGGTATTTTGGTGTGCTGCAATGCTCCAGTGGAATTTCTTAGATGCTTGTCTGTTCTTAAGATGAAAAGCACATGTCTTTGTTTTAGATGGATTAGGAATCAGCTGTTTTTCCCTGTAATAGGCAGTAAGAGCACTTAAAGCTTCAGACAGCTTCTGTTCAACCACTTCAAAGCTCCCTGTGATGGCATGATCATCAGCATAGATGAAACTCTCTTCCCTTCTGGCAATGGCTGGTCATTTGTGTAAATGTTGAACATGGATGGAGTGAGCACGCTCCCCTGAGGCAGGCCATTCTTCTACTTTTGTCATCTGCTTCTCTGATCCTGGAACTCAACAAAAAAGTTCCTGTTCTGTAGCAGATTTCCTATGAAGCGGGTGAGGTGGTAGCCCTTTGTAGTATTATATATTTTTCTCAGGAGGAGAAAATTTTTTAACATTGTCATTACCTTTTATAGTGAAAGAGAAGGCTTTGTTCTACTATGAATTTTGTTATTTAATTCAGGGTGTTTCAAAAAGACTCAGTTCAAAATTACTATATCTCTGCAACTACAAACCACTCATAAATGAAACTCTTACCACTTGAAAGGATGGGACACAGAGTTTCAAAGGTTTAGTGCTTGATGTCTCTCTTTAGCTTCGGTCAATTGCAAGATAGCCCAACAATATAAAACGTAATAAAATATTCACCATTTGTGGAGTTATCTATTAGATTTTTTTTCTGGCTCACAACAGTTATCAAAACTTAACTGGATAGCTTAGTGGTTCTCAACCTGTGGATCCCCAGATGTTTTCACCTTCAACTCCCAGAAATCCTAACAGCTGGTAAACTGGCTGGGATTTCTGGGACCTGAAGTCCAAAACACCTGGGGACCCACAGGTTAAGAAACACTGAGATAGCTCATTAAACTATTTGTAACTTTTTTGTGTAATTGTAACCTATTCCCATTGTGAAATATACTTCTTTGAAATTGGGTCCATCATTTTGAAACTCCCCGTTCTTTTTGGGAGGGGGGCAATCTTAGAATGGAGAAGAAAATTGCATGAGACCTGAAAAAATCCCCCCAAATGCCTTAAAATGTTAAAAAGGGAAACTAGAAAACATTACATATTAAATCAAGATGTAACCTTGTTTGCATTCATTGCATTCCATTTGAAATATAGATTGAAATACAATTTGATCACGTACCTCCCCCAGGTTATGTGTTTTGAACCTCATTATACACATGCTCTTGCCTTACTGCTCTTTTTCCAAGCATTATTTTGCTGTGATGGTGATGTCCACAGCCTCAGTGTCATCATGGGTCATTCAAATGAGTTTAGGAGTTAGAAGATCATTTTGATTTGATTGTCATTATTTAGACAGAAGCCTCATCTGCTGTCTCACCCTATCACCTTTGAATTGCCTGCCAGTATCCAATGATTTTGGCACAGATCCTATAATTGCCTAGCAACTGCTGAACAGTTATTCAATACTTGACTAGTTTTCTCTACACAATTTTCTGAAGGTGCTGCAGAATGATTTTCTTCCACTGAGGCATTTCAGAAAATGGTTCTTAATCCTGATAATATTTTGGAAAACTACTTACCTACAAGTCTTTTATTTGGAGACTGGGAAAAGATCATTGCTTGTTAATAGAGTGGGGGGCAAGTCTCGCAATTATGTATGAGTGTTGAATTTTCCAGAATTGCTAATGATCTCACTACTTCCTTGCTATATTTTATTTGGAGTATACTTGTGGCATTTATATCCTACTGTATTTTTGCATTTAATTGGCCTGGCATTTTTCTGCTTCTCAGAGACCATTAATGAGGATAGTAAGATCATGTTGCCAGTCCTAGTGGCATGGTGCTCAGTCAGTGGAAAAGCGAGTACGGGGGGCTATTCCCTTAAGCCATGAATCCTTATCTTCCCTTATAGCTATAAGGACAGAATGCATATTATGGTAAACATGGGACTGGCTCTCGTTGGAATTTCTCTCCTTCAAAACCCCCTTTGAGTCATCTTTGCCTAAAAAAACTCTTGTTTGAGTTCAGCCTGTGATTGTGTCTAATGATCAGGGTACTCTGGATGTTGGGAGTGATAATGAGGTTCATGTGTCTAATGATGAGGTTGCGCTAGATTCAGAGAATGACAATGGGATTCCTGTTCAAAATGATTTTTCTGATGAGAATGTTCCTGAAAGGTTTGGGGATGATGGTCTGTTCCCTGGGCCAACATTCCCAGCTTTGGGAACCAGAGAATTCCCAAAGCTTTGAGCCTGAGAAAGGCTTGGCACCTGAGTCAGCTGCAGCAAAGAAAAACAAATCAGGCTCTCAGGCATTCTGCCAGATTGCAGAGTCAAGGCTGAGATGAAATCCTTTCCTGGCCGCTTGGGATATAGAGTAGATTAAGGGATAAAAGTGCCAAGTACAGAATCTATAGTCAGACGAAGTAATGTTGGAATTGAGTTAAGACGTCTTTCCTGGTCCCTGGAAACCTTGCCTCAGATAGATTACTGTATCAAGTACCTTGTAATTTCTATGCTGCAGTGGCTTGTTTGATTCATGCTCAAGTGTTGGGGTTTTGCCTTGGAAGTTCCACTATTTGTTGTCATGAACTCTGATGGACTATTTCCTGGATTTGTTGTTCCTGTCTTTCCTTTCTACCTAATTGGATTTACCTGTTTTTGTGGATTGCTTTTTACTGCTACTGCTTTTAGTTATCTTCAATAAACTGCTTGCATTTTACTCAGCTGTATAGTGTTTAAAGTCAGATGGCTTCCTGGCCTGGAGTACAACAACCCTATGAAATTTGTGGGATGGCAAGCTCTGTCTTGCAGAATTAATTGTAGTTAGATATGCAAGATTCCTACGAAGGAAACAGGAGGACTATGCTGGAAAGGTGTGGATTTCTCAAAGTCAATGATTAACAAGTTTTTCTTCTATCAAAATTCAATAAAAAACTTAAATAAAAAAGAGATAGCTCATGACAACAGGGTGTGACAACACAGACTGGAAAGGGCAGAAAATGACACACTACATCATTTTTTGATAAGCAGCAGCTGATAGGAAAGGTCAAGAGCTGGTGCTTGCCTGTCCAATTGTATTGATATAGGATCTTGAAATAAAAGCCATGGCATGTAGGAGGAACTTCCCCACAGCCTCAATTCGTACTCCAAGGAATAGCTTTGAGTGGCTTTAAAGCTTTAAAATGTACTTTTAAAGACAGTAAACATCATTTTAAAAGACAGAGCTGCAATGTTTATACACAGTCCAAGTGACACACTATATTTTGGGGAGGATTTTGGAAAATAATTCACAATATGCTTTCTGTGCTGGCACTGTTAATAGGTAGTCCTAAAGAGAAAGAATATATCCCTCTCCCTCCCCCT